CGCCCGGACGTACTTTGCGATGATGGCCGGGTCCGGCTGCTCGCAGGCAATCCGCTGCAGCTCCCACAGGGTGAGGAAGGGCGTGAGCGCCCGGTCCGGCAGCCGGCCCTCCTTCTCCAGCAGCACGCCCAGCCGGCGGAACGCCTGGCGGAACTTGTGGATGAGCTGGATGACGCCCTCCTTGGTGAACTCACGGTTGACGACGGCGCCCTGGAACCAGGGCAGCAGGCGGCGCAACAGGAACCTGAGGGCGACACATCGGAACGGTGTTGGAAAGAGGTTGTGCACAAATTGCGTCACCTTCGGGGGATGGGGTACTTTCATCACGCGCACCATATTCGAACTCAGCGTTGCAAACGGAAGTGTTTGGGGGGCCATGATTAATTGTGTCCCCATTGGTAACATATTTCTCGGATCGGGTAACTTTATCATAGCGTCTAAAAACAAGCTTCTACTTTCAAGCCTGGACCCGAAAAGTGGACCGTGTAAAGAGTACACCGGAAATTGGTGCACGGCCCCAAAATGGTGTCGCTCCTGTTACATTATTTGTGATAGTTGTACGGGGCGCGCACCTGGTGAAGCCCTTTTTGGGCGACTTGAGCCTCTCGACGACTTCCTGGACGGTCGAGGCCGCGGGCCGGTCGTGGTTCTGGGGGTTGCCCACCAAGGGCTGCAGGGAGGCGATGAGCTTGCTCGGCTCCTCGTCCCATGTCACCGTCTTGGGGTCGAACTGTAACAATACCGTTAGTGAAGGCGAGGTGCATTCGAAATTGAACAACATAATACCCAAGTGGTGACCCCCCCCCCTCCCCCTCCCGCTGCCTTGCCCCGGTTGGGGGGTGGCTTGGGTGTGTTGCTTCCGCGCGGCCCCGCCACCAGAGCGGCGACTCTGTAGCGTCCCGGGCAGCGCGGGAGCGTCCGCGTAGCAACCGGGCCCCCGCTGCACTCCCCCGAGGCACCCCCACACCTCCTCCTGTGCGTCCTGAGGCGCGGCGGGGGGCGGCGGGGGGCGGCGAGCGCGTCACCATGGCTGCCGCCGTGGAGGTGGGCGGCCCGCGGCCCCACGCAGCGACCCGCTGGTAGGGGGAGATGCTCGTTGCACGGTCCGCGCGAAATAAAACAGAATTGGCTAAATTCGAGGCTAAATTCGGTAATGCATTTGCCAATATGGCCTAAGATTAGAATATTAGATCGCCTTGCTGATTTTTAGCTAAGAGAGCTAATAAATTAGCCATGACAGTTGTCAACAAAATGAAAGCAACTAGCAGTGAAAGCTAATATGTTAGCTCTTTTAGCTAAAAATTAGCCAGGAGATCTAATATTCTAATCTTAGGCCATATTGGCAAATGCATTTGCTAATTTAGCTAATTCTTTTTTTTCCGTGCGATCGAGCTGCTTTTAAGAACAATTCGACCCTGTATCAGCGCTGTTGTGTGTGTTGGTCACGCTCCTAGGAATTACAACAGTCACCTCAGTTCCGACTTCCCTCTCACGCCAGCCAGATACCACCACATGCGCGCCCGAAAATTGAATCGCACGCTACGTCGGGGTCGAGAATATGGGGCTTGCCTCGCCGGTGCGCAGGGGAGGCCTCCGGAAACAATCATCGCTCGGGGGATGGGATGGGATGGGATGGGGCGGGCGTCCGAGAGCGAGTCCCGATGGCCTGGCTCGGCTCGACTCGGCCCGGCCCCTCCAGGGAGGGTTGTTGCTGGGGACGGCGACTCAAAACACAACGTGAGCACGGCAGAGTTGGGAAAAGTTCACTATCTGAGCGCAAGTAGGTGACTCGTTACAAGTGCCACACCATCAAAATCCGGTCTTCGACAGAGCTCCATACGATGACGACTGCAGATGAGACCCACATCAAGACCCTCATATCTCAGTAGTTGCCGCTCACCTCCCGGATGACCCGACAGCCGAACTGGTCCAGGAAGGTGGCCGTCATCCTGTGCGCCTTGGGGCAGTGCTCCTCGAGCCAGCGCATGCCCTGCTCGGGCGGCACGGCGAGGAAGTCCCGCCACTGCGGGCAGCCGTCACGCACGGCCTTCGCGATGGCCTCCATGGCGGGGGGAATCTGGGCGGAGACGACGTCGCCGCCGGTGCAGGACAGCATGGAGGCCACGTCCGTGATGTGCTCCGTGCTCAGGTCTGCGGCAGGACATGACGACGACTAAGAGATTTTCAAGTCCGATATTTTTTTCGCGAAAAATTCGAAACTTTTTCAGAATAAAATAGGAAAAAACTGAAATATTTCAAACCAAAAAATATTAAAAAAAATGGAAGAAAGTGACACTTTAAAGAAGTTTTTTCTTGAAAATTTTTCCAAAATTACTTTACCGAAAAATTAAATTTCCTAAATTCCCAAGCATGACGGTATAGTAGTCAGACTCGACTCACCCTTTGCGCCCTCAGTGAGAACCATCACGGCGACGACCTGCGAGAAGGAGCTGACGTTGGAGACCGCCGCGTGGTACGAGAAGGATTCGGTGAGCGTGGGCATGGCCTCGGTGATGAGCCTGAGCACGCCGCGGGCCGTCGCCTCCCGGGCGGCCTTCTCGTGCAAGTCCAGCTCCCGGGTGAGCTTCTGCGTCGCCTGCACCATCTTGGACGCGTTCCACGCGCGCACGCCCACCTCGTAGAACAGCTTGACGCGGGTCAGGGCGTCAATGCGGCAGCCGTGCCGCCGGAGCGCGGCGCGGTGCATCGCAGGGGTGGTGGCGCGGTGTCCGTAGATGGTCAGGTCCACGACGTGAATGCCCAGGTCCAGCTCGCGGCCCACGTTGCGCAGCATCAGCTATGAACCGAAGGATGTTCTTTAAAAACGAAAACATTTCTATCGTGAGTTGCGGGCGATGGTCAGGTACGTGCTTTATTGTTAAAGTAGGCGAGTATTTTTGTATCTCCCCCCCCCCCCCAGTTTGGTATTTTAGTTTTGACCTGACCTTTTGCTTTTTATCGCAACGCAACGGCCCTATTGCAAGCGATAGATCGATCAAGAGGAGCTTTCGGCCTGTGCAAACTAATCACTATTACTCGAACATGCTCGCCACAGTCAGTCCAGAGCCGGCCCCGAGCTCAGCGTGTTTTGTAGTAAGAGAAGACCACTAAGACCAAGTAGATTTCTCGACGCACTCGCGGCCCGTGATCGGACAATGAATGAGAAGTGGGTGAAGAAATCCGTCCTGTGCTTTTGGCCAGTATTTTATATTCAAGTATGTTCATCATTAACCCCTGCAACTTCCTCACTTAAGCGGAAACGTTCTGTTTATTAAGCTTTTATCATTATTATTAACTGCTGTTTTCGGCTTCAACCCAGGCTTTCAATTTTGGAATTTTCCCGGTCCATTTGGAGTCGATGCGGCCACTAGCTGCTTGGAGAGCAGGTGGATCAGCTGTCCTTTGTGTATCATGTGGCATCGCAAACGCAGCTTTGTTCAGTTACACATTTTCAAGGTAGAAAGACACAGTTACTTGAATCTTGAGGACGCGTCATGGTTTTCAAGTCATATGTAAGGATTTTTGATTTATTCTTTTTTTTTGTTTAAATAGATCACCCGATTACATCCTCTTCATGGGGATTAACGTTATTTCTATCCTTCTGTCATCTCTCCTCTACTGGAGAACTGTTCACTTTCGCGGGAATATGTGCAACACGACACGGTAAGACTGGGGAAAGTACGTCCAGGCAACACGCCGGGTAGGCTAAGCCTACCCGTCAAGCTGCTGTAAGAGGACGGCGTCGTGGTGACGGCGGCCTTGAGACTTATTTGAATAATATTTTGTGTAGCTTCATACTGTTGATATTTTCTAACACGGATCATGGCTCTCATTTCTGCAGAGCATTATTAACACACTGTGAACGGCATCCTCTTTCGCCTTCATCTTGGCGTTTGCTACTTGTAGCTTCATTACTGACGACTACTTTTTGCATCGCCCATATTGCATGGGTTCTTGACACGTTTACCGACTGCCAGTTTAATATGTGGAGCAGAGGTTTCATGCAGGCTGCATCGCATGCTCTGTTCTTTTTCTTGGGATGGCAGCATAACTTGCTTTTTGCGTTAGTGCTTATTCCTGTTATGCTTTTGGCTTTGCTTTTTGCGGATCTACGCCAGAATTGTGTCGAACTTCTACAAATCGTCAGCAAAAACCGGAACGAAAAAGATTCGGGGAAGCAATCGAATGAGTTATCTCCCGAGGTAGGGTGCACGGGAACAACGCTCTTGTTTTGATTCACACCATTTTCTTTTCTACTTTCTATAAATAACATTTTGATTTTGCAGTGCGTGAGCTTGCTCTGGAGAAATTTGCGCTGCCAATATCAATCTCTGTTTGACATCTTTTCTGCAACGCGAAACCTTTTGCAATGGCATCTTGTCTATTTGTCGTTCGTTAGCGGTCTATCGTCTACGGTTCAATTATCAGACTACATTAAGTTTTACAACTCCACAACGCCTCGGAGTGCTTTACAGTTGGCACAATTAACGTGTCACTCCGTGCGATTTGTCATGCTTTGTCTCGCATGTCAGAAATTTCAATCAGAGGTGTGTGTACGATTGCCCCACGGGTCAGCGGGCAAGCCTCTATGTAAAATGCGCGAAGATGCGTTATGCACAATGCTTCTTGAAAACTTTTTTCTTTGCAACGTTGCGAGGAATATGCGATTTTTGTATTGCAAAGCAATTCTTTGCAAGCTTGCGAAGGGGTAGTTTGTATAACAGTGCTTCAAAATTCTTTACAAGCTGCAAATAAAATCGTTTGTGATACGAAAGCTATTCCTTGCCAGTATTTTGCAGTGTGTAGCACACAGAAATGGGAAAGTCAACTTTGTATTTTCACAGAACGACAAAATGCGCCAGTCCATACTTGCGTACACATCACAGATCAGAGAATTTCACCGAGGTAATGAGGTAGGTTTGGCGAGCACCTCGACGGCAAGTTACAATACGCATTAGATGGAAGATGCCGGTAGAAGGCTTGGTTTATCTAATTATTGTTGTTTGGGCAGGTCCACATGTTTGGTATCCAAATCGAAGGTCAGCAAAATGGAATATGCACGGTGCTATGGTCGTTTGACATGAATGCAGTAACTGCTTTGCAGGTAAATTTTGTACTTGTACAACTTTGAGGACCCCCAGCTAAGGTGTAATATCGCAGACGTGCACCAATTTAACATCCCAGAAATTTACATATAACTATACCGTTTCAACATCAATTCCACATTCTGCCATTATTTCTAACGAACATTGATTGTTTGCGTTCATTTAGCTGATGTCCGCCATAGTTTCCTACACTATCGTCATGCGCCAGAGTGACGTCCACTTTAAAGCATTCTGAGAATCAGCTACATTTTATATCGCTCTGTTCAAATGTATTTAATTAATAAAGTAGTTCCTATGTGCTAGATGTCCTGTACCACCACCCGCTTTCGCCACGACCGCCGAGTTAGTCCCCCGCAATATGGAATATGTTGTTCGCCTTTGAGTCAATACGAGTTTGTGTTTGCTATCAGAGATGGGTGACTGTATCTTTACCGGTCAGCCGGCCAGTGCTTTTAGACAGTCCTCAAGACTATCACTAGCGGGGGCCCAAGCGCCCCCCTTCCTCGTCCTTTCTCCTAGAGCAGAGGGTACTCAGTCGCTCAGTCAGCAGGGGTCCGTAATTTAACATGAAACTCCCCTTAAGCGGTACGTTATCCGTTAAAGTTGTAACTTATAACTTGTGACCATACAATGAAACGTTAAGAGTTGGACTGAAAATGCCGGAACAAGCTCCAACTAGCACCAAAATAATTTTTGACGACCCATATCTTTAACTTTTATTGCAAATTGTTAAACGTCACGCGTTACATAACTAACGCATAACGCTTAAGCGCGAGGGGGCAAGAACTCCGGGAATCATGTGTGCACCTGGCGGGGAATCATCAGGATAAAAATTGATCGAAATCAACATAAATCGCTGAAACTAAGCGGGAAACTAGTAGAACTGGTACAAATTAGTCGAAATAAGCGTTTTCTACCAAGAGAACACCTCAGGAATAAATATAAGCGAGCGGGAATCACTGGGAATCAAGTATTTCGGGAATCATGTGTACACATAAAAAGGGAGTTATTGCCCCCTCGCTTAAGCGTTAAGTTACGGACCCCTGTCACTCAGTGACTTCTCCCGAACACTCACGTTGAGCACGTTGATGGTGACGTGGTTGTGCGTGACGGGGATGCAGGTGTTGAAGCGCCGGAAGACGTCCTCCTTGTAGGAGGAGGCCCTCGCCGTGCACATGTCGCACCCCCTGGTCACGGTCGTCAAGCACAGCGGCGACGACGCGCCCGGCATCACCTCCCTGTCGACACACAGAACGGCCACACTGATGTAAGAGCCCTTAGTAACACGTAAGGCATAAAGGCGATGCCGAGTCTCACTCACCCCGTGTTGGCCGTGGAGCAGACCTCCTCGTCGGAGCACCAGGGCGTGTCCTGCTCGTGCAGCAGCTCGAAGTCGGTCCAGTTGAAGAGGGCGGTGACGGGGCGCGACTGCAGCAGGTGCAGGCGGCCCGACGCGAACGCCCACTCCACGTCGCGAGCGCCGCCGAAGGCGCGCTCGAGGCGGGCGCCGGCGCGGGCCAGGGCGAGCGCCTCGTCGTCCGAGAGGCAAACCACCGAGCTCGCCGACTGCGCCACCGCCTCCTCGCGGACCCCGCCCGACGCTGCCAGGACGACGCGGTGCTTCTTGTCACCGGTGCGCCGTTCCACCACGCTCATGGCGCCCGCCATATCACGCTGCACCACCACCACGTCGGGGTCCACCGCGGCCGACACCACGCTCTGCAGGCACAATGGAAATCAAGACTTAAAACCACTTGTAAAAAATACCTTTTGCGGCATGTTACAGTCTTACAGGGTCGGCAAAAAATATGTAATTGTATAAATTCAAATTAGTATCTCCGATTCGTCACACGGCAGACTCGCATGCTCACCTCCCCGAGGCCGTAGTTGGCCGTGATGAGCAGCTTGCGCGGGTCGCCAGAGGAGGGGTCGCAGGTGAACAGCACCCCGGCCGTGTCGGCGGCGACCATGCGCTGCACCACCACGGCCATGGGCGCGTTGACGGGCTGTGCGTGCTGACGGCGGTACTGCACCGACTGCAGCGCGAACAGCGACGCCCAGCAGCGCCGCACGCCGTCCAGGACGCCGTCGTCTCCGCGGCACCCGAGGAAGGTGGCGTTCTGGCCGGCGGCCGAGAGCTCGTCCGAGTCCTCGCCGACGGCCGACGAGCGCACGGCCCAGAGCACGCCGCCGTCGCCGTCCAGCCGGGCCAGCGCGGCCCGCACCTCCACGGCCACGGCCTCGCACACGGCCTCGGCATCGAACAGCGCGACCACGGCCTCGCAGCGGGCCGACAGCGCCGCGTCCACGCCCTCCGCCGAGGATTCGGCCGCGGCCGCGGCCAGCGCCTCCACGGCCTCACGCAGCGCGGGGAACGAGGCCAGCTGCCGCTCCAGGGCCGTGACTGTCAGGCAGAAGCCGCCCGGCACCACGTACGACCCCTCGAGGCTCTTGTCCGTGGCGAGCGCGGTGAGCACGGCCAGCGAGGCGCCCTTGCCGCCCACCAGCGCCGTGCTGCGGCACGCGCGCTCCTCCAGGTCGAGCAGCAGCCGGCCGGGCAGCGTCTTGGACTCGCGCAGGTGCAGCGCGGGCGCGGGCGCGGCGGCGGGCAGCGCGCACGGCCCGTCGTAGCGGTAGCACAGCTCGGCCAGCCCCACACCCTCCATAACCCCCTCGGCGCCGCGCCACTCCAGCGAGCACTCGGCGGGCTCCAGCAGCATGAGCCAGGACCACGGCCGCTCGCACAGCACCGTGCACGGCTCCGTCCTGGGCAGGTGCACCGCGGACGTGTAGTGGACGCCGCCGGCTACTCAAAAACAAATACATTCAAAAACGAAAAAAAAAAAAGAACTTTTTTTCTTCTGTAGGGGTCGGGGCGTTCCGCGTGCTGATTATTACCAGTGAACTGCAGGACGAAGTGCTTCGGGATGTGGTCCTTGTCCTCAGCGAGGTCGGGCAGGGACAAGCTCGTCGAGGTGATGCTACGCAAATCGCCCTCCGCCGTCCGGACATGGCCGTACGTGGCACTGACGGATAACACAATTTAGATTGAAAAAAAAAAAAAAACAACCTCCGAGGGTAATGTTTCCACCAGCCGCGGTACTCACTGCGACAGCTGCCCCGGGTGGCAGTCGGCGCCGACGCTGAACATGGTGCCGTTCTTGAGCACGCCGCTGACGGTGAGCCGGCGGTGCAGGCGGCCGGCCTCGTTGGGACCCCAGCGCCGCTGCCGCAGCCCGCGCAGGTACACCTCCACGGCCTCCGCGCCCTCGACGCGCACCTCGCCGTGCAGCGTGCCCCACTGGTCGTAGCCGCCGACGTGGCCCTTGCTGTTGGCAGAGTCCAAGGATGACAAAAAACAACCGGAAGTGGCCTCGAAAGGTCGGCGAGAATGTGCCACTTCCGGTTAGGGATTTGAAAAAACTACATTTTTCCGGAAAATTTCAAAACATTTCCAGAATATTTTTGAAAGAATTGGAATGCTTCCAGAAAACATAATGAAAAACAAAAAAAAAAAAAAAAAAAAACTTTGAAAAAAAAATGAGACATCTATTTTTAAAAAATGTTCAAAATTTTCATATTTTACCAAATTTAAATTTCGCAAACATATTTTTCTGTAAAATTATTAGAATCCCCATTGTGGTTGGTTTTGGTGCTGCTGACTCACATGATGTCCATCCAGTGGTCGCTGCGCCACGGCTCCCGGGCGAGCGTGTCGGCCAGCATCTCGGCACTCCAGTCGTGGCGGCAGTTGTACTCTTTGCTGCAGGCGTGCCACAGGAAGTTGAGGCGTACGTGACGCATGCAGCCCTGGTCGCCGGGCAACCCGTCCCAGTCTTGGTGCGAGCGCGGTGCGCCCTCCCGGAGCACGCCGTTGAAGGCGAGCCGCCAGGTGCGGAGCGGCTCCACCACCTCGAGGCGCAGGCTGCCCCAGTCGCCGCCCGCCGACCACGCGGCCCCGGTGCGGCTCATCAGCGAGTCCGGCATCTCTGCGGACCGACGGGGACGTGCTCAGGACCGAGGGGGAAATCACTAGGGTTCGTAGCGTACGGACTATTTTGTGGTATTTCTCCTCCCATTTCGGTTATTTCTCCTGCCATTTCGGCTATTTCCCGCCAATTTCGGATTATTTCAGACTATTTCGCGCTATTTCGGAGTATTTCAGGGATATTTCGCGACTATTTCACCAACTATTTCGCGTTTATTTCATCTTTATTTCGCTCTATTTCGCTTCTATTTCGCCTCTATTTCGGACTATTTCGGGGGAGGTGTACGAACTATTTCGCAAGTGATTTCCCCCTCGCTCAGGACATGGTTGGGCAGGGCCGGGCCGTCGTGGTGACGCGAGCGGGGGAGTGTACTCACGGGGCAGCTGGTACACCGTGTCGCCCAGCTTGAGCTGCAGCGCGACGCGCGCCAGGCAGTGCCGCATCCGCGTCATCCGCACCACCAGGTAGCCGCCGTGGAAGTCGGCGCCATGGAAGCACAGCGAGTCCACAATCTGTGAGCAGTGTTCAGAGCGACCCAAGTGTTACTTCACTTCAATCAGCAAATGCCCTCCAGAACATCAGGCATGCTTTATTTTCAAAACCACAACTAGAAGACGTTGAACTCACTCACCCCCTCAGCCAGGAGCAGCCGGGGCTCCTCCAGGCGCCGCTCGTACTCGGTGGGGAGGTACACGGCCTCCTCCTGGGCCTGGCGCGCGGCCGCGGGGTCCGACGGCGAGAGCGCGGCCAGCCGCTTCGCCTTGAGCCGGCGCACGGCCAGCAGCGCCCACACGCGCTTCAGGGGGAAGTTCCATGCTGCGGGGCAGCAGAGCAGAGTCAAACAAAAAGTCCCTCACTGCAATACAATGAGCCAACCTCTTTTCGTGAGCTTAGTTAAAAAAAAAAAAAAAAAAAAAAAAAACTCCTCCGATCGGATCAGTTTTGTCCGTAGCTGCTCCTCCACCAGTAAATTAGAACACTTTCCGGCCCTAGTTCAGTCGCCGGCCGGATATTGTTCCGGCTTGAAGTTTCCCTCCTGGCCGGAGAAAGAGGCAGAGAGTGCTGCGTGAGCAGAGTCCAAGAGCGTCTTTTAGGACGCGAGAAACATGCTTGGCCGGAATTTCCACCTGGGGGATTACTCTGGATAATTCCGAATCCTGGATTTCTCCGCAATACCCTGAATTACGACCGAATTACCATTGGATTACCCCCAGGTAACCCGGGATTACCCCTGGATAAAGGGTCGACCACTCAGTGTTTTGATGTACATGGAATGTCTGGAATATATGTGGAGTATCTGAAATATTTGTGATATATCTGAAATATTTGTGATATATCTGGAATATTTGTGGAACATCTAGAATATTTGTGGAATATGCTTTAGTATGGAATATCTAAGTGGTCCACCACTTACCCCTGAATTACCTCCGGATTATCCCCGGTTTACGCCGGTTTGACACAGGTCGTGTCTAGCCGGTTACCCAAGTCATTTCCCCCCTCAGTAGTTTTTTTGCTTTAAGTTATATTTACTCCCCTCTTTCTAATGTCGTACGTGAGCCCTCACACATTCACTCGAGAGCTGCACAAGACGACGATAAGATGGCGTCTGATCACGGACGAGACGCCCCCGACAAATTCACGGTTTCCGCGAACGGGTCACTCGAGTGCAGGTTAGAGTAGACCAAGAAAAACTTTTTGTTAAAATGTTTAAGTTCACATTGCCCATCTCGTGCCAATCCATAAAAAACGCTCTCAAAAAAAATTTCAGCCAGATCGGACAATATTTGACCCTCCCGAAGTGGGTTCAAATTTAACGTTAGTTTCTTATGGGTCATCGGGCCAAAACGTTACACATTTGGCCTGTGGCTCAAACTATCAATCGTAGACAAAGGCCGTTATCAAAAACGTGATCTACGCTAAAAACTGAGTCAGACGACATGCGGCTTGTCAAAATCCGTCACCGCGTTCCGTAAAAAGAAATATCGTGTTTTCGTTAAAATGTGTTATTTTTAGTTGTTTCATCAAGTTTTAAAATCTAAACGAAATGAGGGATTTTGACAAGCGGCATGTCGTCTGACTTTGTTTTTAGCGTAGATCACGTTTTTGATAACGGCCTTTGTCTACGATTGATAGTTTGAGCCACAGACCAAATGTGTATCGTTTTGGCCCGATGACCCATAAGAAACTAATGTCAACTTTGAACCCACTTCGGGAGGGTCAAATATTGTCCGATCTGGCTGAAATTTTTTTTGAGAGCGTTTTTTATGGATTGGCACGAGATGGGCAATGGGAACTTAAACATTTTAACAAAAAGTTTTTCTTGGTCTACTCTAGAGTGCAGGTGTGGCCACGTGCGGGTCCACGGTCGAGGAAAACAACAACAATCGGTCGTCGGAATAACTGTGCTCGGCCTGTCCTTCAATAATCAGCCGTCGTGCATGGGATGATGAACCAGAGGGTCATGAACTCACACGGACACATTCGAGGGTGTCTGTCACAAGGGGGACCAACTCAAACAAAATCATATGCTCAAAAATATTTTTAAAAATCACCTATACAATACAGAGAAACACGTCGATATGCACACGGTAAAAACAATGTCTCATCATCCCGACGCGACGCAACTAGATTGCTTTTAGTCCGTCGTGACAAACCTCGTACTCGTGGTGCAGGCGGAAGTAAATAACCACTGTTTTGGCATGAAAATTTGTTTCAGAAAATTTGGTGAATGTTGTTGGATTACAACATGTGTTCGATGCCTCCTAACGACAAAGTTCGATCTTCAGCGGCACGGTTACACAAAGTTCGATCTTCATCGGCACGGTTACACAAAGTTCGATGTGCAGCGGCACGGTTACACAAAGTTCGATCTGCTTTTCGCCGCTCGCCGAAGTCGCAAGTTTAGACCTCTACTACAGTCTTGTTGTGATAGCATTCAATTTTTTCTTTGGAGTATGTTGTTCTTTGATCTTTTACAAACATGAAGCAGTTTTTACTTTTTTTCTATCTCCAATATTGACGAGAATATGAATACATTTAGGCTGCGCTGCAGAAACCGCCGGAATGTAGATCGAACTTTGTGTAACCGGGCCGCCGCAGATCGAACTTTGTGTAACCGGGCCGCTGAAGATCGAACTTTGTGTAACCGTGCCGCTGAAGATCGAACTTTGTCGTTAGGAGGCATCGTGTTGTTTTTTAACAACATTTGTTGCTATCAAACTTTACATCAAATGTGCTGTAAATTTACAACAAAATTTTTAAGAGTGTAATCGCCGACAACACAATTGTTGGGATCCGCACATGGGCTGCAGTAACTGTATTCGCCGTGGCTGCGACGTGTTCGCCTCTTTCCGTACGAGTGTTCGGGCGTGCTGGCGTGCCGTGCGCATCACGCAATGTGCTGTGCTGTTGAAATCGAGTACGCATCGAATTTTTCCGCGCGCAATTTCTCCTTAACCGGAGGACGTCTCTAGGTTTTCTTCAAGATGTCTATATTTTGTCATCTGGTTGTCTCTAGTGTCTCCTGGATGTTCCCATAGTGTCTAGTAGAGATGCCTTCACGAAGTCTCCGCGCAGTCTCTGCGTTGTCTCCAGGCAGTCCGTATAATGTCTCTCGATAGTCTGCTCGGTGTCCGCATGCTCGCTTTAGGATGTCTCTTTCTGGCCTTAAAAGATCCCTTTCTAGAGCCATTCTAAGTGTCTCTGAGTTGTCCCAGCACAGGCTCAGGTGTGTCTTTCGATAGTCGTCGGAGTCTGGGCGATGTCTCTGAAAGAGACATCCTGAAGGCACAATTTTTTGTACGGGCAACGGCAGCTGGATTACCTTACAAGGGAAGGTTTTCCGGTGATACAGCCACTGGTAAAACAAGTGTGCAATATTTGCACACCAAACGTGTGCAAGTTGTGATTTTGCACATCACATGGTGTTTAACTCAAGTTG